TTCCACAGTGCATTGCTGCTATCCCTCAGGGGTGAATTTTTAGCTGCAGAATTTATGAGTTGCACATTTATTTGATTTGGCTTTTGGTTAATTTTTTTTCTCCTCTTGTCAACCTGACAATATGAGGGCAGACGAATGTAGTCCCTGTAGAAGAGGCAGTAAACGGTACTCTTGGAGACTGCTTTATAGAGGCCTTCCAGGCTGCCCTCCTGCTCCCCTCCCACTCTTCTTCTCTCCTCTTCCCTTCCTTCCTCCCTGATCTTCTCTGTTGCCTGTTCAGCAAGGCTTATGGAACCAGAACCCTCCACTCTAAATAAATAAATCCTGAAATAAATATGGATACGAGTCTCCTTAACATTACCTGTCAAATCCCTAAGCACAGAACCCCCAAATGGCCCCCTGAGTCTCCCAGTAATTTCTGGGAAGCACATAAAAAAGACGATCAGTGGGTATACTTGTGGAAATCATTAACGAGATGGGGGAAGATATGCTTATAAGTCAATAATTCTTTTTGACATGACCTTAGCACTGGTTGTGTGATGACTCTCTTTAATGGAGGAAAAGACATATGGCCGAGTTTTATGACAGATGTCAGGAATCCTGGAAGGTGGCACAAGGAAGATCTTAGTTATTTTTTTCCTCTTAACTGACATGGATGTATGGGACATTTTGTCAACCTAATGACCGTGTCCTTTGGTTCTGATCATGCTATGGCAGGAGAATATAGTGACCCACTTTCAAAGGGTGGTAAATATCATTGAGGGCAAAATTTATGTTAGAAAAGGTCCAATAAACAGTTACTCAACATGAATTCTTAGAATCATATAGTGTGGATTTATTCTGCATTGCTCATGCAGTGTGCTGATCTGAGAGACTGAAAGTCAGTAAGGGTAGATTCACATTTAACTCTATTCAAATTTCTATAGCTCATATGTTGTTTACTCTGGAGATGGTGGAGTTAGTGGCTTACTTCCAAAGAGTTTTTTCTGCTGTTTTTTATTTTGTTGACCTCAATACAGCCTATCAAAAATGTAGTCATTGGAATTGAGAGAAAACAAATTGCCAAAGGGTTATGTGATAGGTTGGCTTGTGATGAGGCTCTTCATTACCTTTTGAAGGAGTACTGACAAGCAATATGGGGTAGAATTGCATTTGCAAGGGAGGTGATTACAGGCTGTGAGTGGGCAGTTTTAGAGACTGTGATTTGGAGAACACAATGCAGAGGCCTAACTATGCCATTTGACTTGGGAGGAAGGAAGATCTGGGGTCCAGTGCAGCATTCAGCAACCATTTATTAGCCTTGCAAAGGGCCTGCAGGTACTTGTATTACACTAGAAAAGAGCAGTTGTAAATCAGGCCATCAGTACATAGGGAATGCTCTGTGGCGGTACACTGTGTGTGTGTGTGTGTGTGTGTGTGTGTGTGTGTGTGTGGTGTGAGTAGGAGCTACAGTTTTCTGCCCTTGCCTTGACTTAGAAGTCCAAAGGAATCTTAGCAACACCAAGTCTTGTTTCTTCCTTCCTTCTCTCCTTTCTCCTCTCTACATTGAAGCAGTAACAGCGGCTTTCCTCCTGTCAAGAGCTGCAATTGTCAAAGTAATTGTGGCCAATATTTTGTCAAGAGCAGTGTTTGAGTTACTTTTGACCGTTTGGCTGATTGATGCCTTCACTGACTTTTGGAGACGAGGCTTAAAGTAACTGTGTCGAGCACCTCTATTGGAGTTTGTCTTCTTTTCTGCCTCACAAACTCCATTCTCCAGATTCTCGGTCTGCTTTCTTTCTTTCCAAATATGGATGTTCCTCTTGGCTACTTACCTCAAACTTGTCCCTCTTGGTAGCTTCATGCTTGGTCTGCTCTGCACCTTCACTGAGTACCTTTCCCTTTCTTCTCTCATTGTTTCGATTCTTGCTATCCCCTGATTTCAGCTACACTGGGAAGAATGAAAAATGGACTTGGGTTTTGGACCTCTAAATGAGAGCCCTGGAGAATTGGCAGCACAAAGAATTTTATGCTTGTGAGAGGTTGACCAGATGCCACTCACCGTGGCTGGAACCAGCAGCTCTGTGCCACAGTTGGTTGAGTCAAGCCAGACGTTGCTGTCTTATTTTGCAGAGGAGCTTGATAGGATAGAAAAATTTTAAGTTGAGTTTGAACCTCTTCTAAATTTTTTCATAATTTTTTTGAATTTTCATAATTGCCCTCATGTTGGGGCACAGTGATAATATTCCTTACCAATTAGCATTATGGGTCTATTAGTGTCTTACACAGGGGCTTCTGCTTTGATAGTAAGTGTTAGCTGGGCTGTTTAGAATGAACAGTCTCAGAGGAAATGGTACATATTTATGTGTAATTGGAACAAATTGACTATAAGTCATAGAGAAGTCAAAATTAGAAAATGCGAATTAAAATTTTATTTTGTAATTTTTTAGGGTTCCCATTTCTAGAAAGTTTGTATTTCACTTTTTACTTGGTAATTTTAGTGCAATTCATTTTTCCCCCAGAAGAGCAACTCCTGTTTCCTTTAAGTGAATTAATTACTTAATGGATTTTTTTCTGAAAATCTTCTTCTAAGAAATAGCAATAGATTTATGCCAAATTGACACAATTTCCCTCTTATTATTAGAAACAATTTCTGGCCCCTGCTGTATGGGGCCATTTTCCCCAGCTCCCAGGCTGATGTTGCACATTTAGCATCCTATACATTCAGCAACCTATACATTTGTAGTGCAGAGTAGCTTAAGTAAGCTGCTTTATTCACTGCTTAATTATGTTATTTTACTGTTCCTGAAAACCTGACACCAGGCAAATTTACATTAGTGTGCTTCTAATTAGCCAATAATCCTTGAGGATTTGAATGATACATACCCAAAGTAATTTCCTTCTTCACTAAATTTGAATTTTCTTGCATCAGGTTAAGAAGATGGGCCAATGACAGTAGGCATCCTGGTGATGACAGCCCTCAACAGGTCTGTCTCCTGAGTCACACTGTGTTAAAAGCCACATAATGATTTCAGCAACATCATAAAGCACATCATAGGAAATCAATCAATAAACCGTGTTGTTAGCTAAGATGAGTTTAGTTGTTCATCAGATGGGAAAAACCCTTTTAGATGTTTATTCTACTTTTTAAATTAAATCAGCTGTGGATTTCTTTGCCTGTAATCTATACTCTGCCATATCTGCCTTACACTTTTGGTTGGAAACATGTCCACGGCATCCAGTGTAGTCCCACAAGTAGCCAGTTGGCTCCTTGAATTGTTGTATTCTCTGAAGAGCCTGTCTCTGAATCCTTTTGGCTCTCTGGCCATGTGATGATTGTCTCCCACATATTGTGGCAGCTTCCTCTTCACTTATTGTTTGCAGTTGTTACCAAGCCACCAATTGCTGTTCCCTACTTCTTCCTTCTAATAGGACAGTGTTTTGTCCTGTTCTCCTTTGGCCCTTTTCTTTGGAGAAGGTGAGGCACATTTTGTGATCCAACAGTAGGTCAGGCATGGTCTAAGACAATGCTTTTTAAAACTATTTGACTCATCATATAGACAATAACATATTCATTCTATATCAGAGTCAGCACACACAAAAGTTGATAGGTGTGTGTCTATTCATATTTATATTTACATCTGTACTCAAATTTCAATTAAAAAATTCTACGCAATGGATTTCATTAATTTCAATTTGCAGCATAGGGACTAAGTCAATCATTGTTTCATTCTCCTGGCTAGTGATTGGTTTAGGCCAAAATTCATGATACTTTCTCTTCCTTGCTGAATGTCCCACTACCTGCCTGGGACTCTTGCAACTGAGACAAGCCAGGAAAGGGGCACAGCTGCAGATAACAGAAAGTAAGAGGATGGTGGCCTGGCTCCTTGCACATGTCAGTGAATCAGCACTCTATAAACCAGTACAGGAATTCTTGTGAGATAGAATTTCCCATTGTTGAAGCCAGTTCCATTGGAATTTTCTGTTACTTGAAGTCAAGAGCTTTCTAATATATTCCTTTGCAGGGTCTAGGAATCAAATAATATTAACTGGGGTCTGCAGTAACTGATGTCAATGGATCAGGGTCACATTTCAATTAAAAGAATGAGGTGAACTTGATTGAACATTTGTGGCCTGTGGGACTGGTTTGGGGACCTGATTCAGCAGACCGCTGGAATTTGTGATTTGACCTTTGTGGTTTTGGCTATTTGTAGGTGACCTGGAAGGTCCATGACATACAGTCATTTGTGATTTTGCTGAGCCTTGTATGCTGGATTTTGTATGCCATGAAATGGGTTTTGTATGCCACGAATACTTAACCACGGGCCTAGTTAACACACAGCAGCTTTAGACAGAGCTTTGTGGCTCTCCTTTTGTCTTCATGGACTCATTAATTCATTTTTTTATACTTTCTTTTACACCTTTATAAAATACAATATCATACTTTTATAAACACTAAAGCTTACCATATAAAATGACAAGAATAACTTTTTCCAGTATAAATACTTAATGAATTGATTATTTTCTCCCTATTCTGTAAATCCAGTTAAAGTATCTGATTTTATTTTATTTTATTTTATTTTTTTGGTACAGGGATCAAACTCAGGACCTCGCCCTTGCCAGGCAGGTGCTGTGCTGCTGAGCTACAGCCCCAGTGCATTTGATTTTAGATTAAATACTTTAAAGCATACTTTTGGAAAATTATAGGAGTAGGGAAAAAAACCTTTAAATTCTTACATTTTTTACCATTACGGAGTTTGAAAACATTACAAAATATTTTCCTTTTAATTTGTATAAGAATAATAATGCACAGAAAAAGAGGAGAGATTTTCGTTATGAAGGCAAATAATGGTGGTTCAGACTTCACTTTTCAACTTATGTAATTTTCCTTCTTAAAAACCCACCTCAGATGTTTTCTGGACAGTGATGTCTGAGCAGTCATGTAGATGTCACAGTGAGGCCCTTGCAGTGAGTGAGGTGAGCCAGCCCTTTCTTCCCTCCTGCAGGCCCAAGGCCACCAGCTACAGGTTCTCTCTGGGGAAGGGCACCCAGGAATGGAGTGGCAGGCATCTCCGCTGAAAGCAGTTGTGTCTGCGTAGCTTTCTTCTCAGGGCCAAATTAGCTGGTCTCTGTCCGCGGATAAGGAGGAGACTCATCATGAAAATTAAAAATACGCAAAAAATTTGCCGAAATCTCATTTTTCTGCCACACACGAGTGGAGCAATAGCTCTCAAAGTAAACCAAAAAATCTGTAAATAGCCTGTGCAGTAACGGTGTGGCCGTCCTCACATCCTAATGACTGACTCATTAATTCTTGAAAATGACTCAAACTGATTTTTTCATGATGAAGTATTATCTAACCCTACACACACATGCACACACGCACACACACGCACACGCACACACATGCACACACACACCCCTATCTGTTAATGCTGGAAATGAGAAGAAGGCCAAGAAAATGTAGAGTGAGAGCTGAGAGCCAGGAACTAGACCTCTGGATAAAGTCAAAAGTGAGATGCTGGTTAAATAGCCCAGATCTAGCTCAAGGATGGAGTCCTCAGAGGAGCTATCTGGCAGTAAGCCAAAGTGACATTTGAAATTTTGGTATTCATGCTTTGACCAAGGAAGGTGACCTGCTGATGAGAGCTGAGCATCAGTAAAAGTTGGGAGAGCTCTCTGTTTCCGAGGTGCATAGACTACAAGCTTGTTGGAAATTCCATCCCTCAGTGCCCCTGACAGGAATTTGCACAGGGATCAGGACATTTTCCCATGCATGTAAAGAGTCTTCAGCACTTGCTGTGTGTGAGTTCTCTGTAAATAGGAGGATGGCAAAAGGCTGTTTTTATGGGAGATGGAAGTCACTTAATGTTAGGAAATTGTGGTATTCATTTTATTTCAGACTTTATACAGGCAGGTGGGACCTTCTATGAAGTGGCCTGTGGCTCATTTTTACTCAGGTATAATGTTTGGGATCTATCAATTACCATGGACTTATTGAATTAAACATGTACTGGGTCAATTCTCTAGAGCCGTAAGTATCAGAAACAGAAGGAAGGAAAAACGGATCTTTTGGTGATGCTTATGTGGAAACTGAGGATGTGAATCAATACTTGAGCCATGGTCCTGGTCATGTGCCTTGAATGTATGGTATCATTGCCTCAAGGGCTCATTTTTGCTCAGTCTAAGCTGGAGCCAAAGGCTTAGTATCACTGTGAGCACAGTTCTTTATGGATTCAGCCATGAGTTAGGGCTGAGTCTACTTTCAGGTGGAGTGTGCAGGAGTGAGATTAATAGATCTCTGGGATGGTCATAATGGTCATGATTGTCTTGTTTGTAAACTTATCTGTATTTCAGGTAAGTGTATCCAGGTGTCCTTTAGAGCATATGACAGAGAGGCAAGGAGGGAGCTTCTGGTGGGAGAATCATGGGAAGAGAAGAATTTGTAGAAGAATTAATAAGAAAGACCCTCTCAAGAGGCTTTAGGAAGGGGTGATGCTAATGATTCATGAAATAGGTAGAAAGTGGTTGCTCTGTGGTCTGTCAGAGATAAGCGATATGGGTTTTAAAGCAAGTTTTTAATATTTTATGTGATTTGAATATGGTTTGTCTGTCCTAAAACCCATATGTAAGTGTGCTTGTCACTGAGGGAGGCAGGGCCTTTAAGGAGTTATGCATTTCTTCAGTGGCTTTGGGTTCATAGTAGTTACTACTATGTTCCTACTTTTGAGGTTCTGGTTTAGTTGCCTCGAGAATGGGTTGTTATAAATTGAGGTCATTCTTTGTATTTTGCCTCTTCTTACTTTCCCTCAAGTGCCCACTTGTCCTTCTGCTTTCTACCATGGTATGAAGTAGTGTGAGGCCCTCACCAGGTGTGGTCACACATCTCGGACTTCCAGTCTCCAAAACTGTGAGCCAAAATTAAGCTCTTTCTATTATAAATTACTTGGCCTTGAGTATTTTGTTATAGCAACAGAAAACTAATAGAATCAATTCTCTAATCACTTGTGGTAACTTCAGAGTTTTAGATCTGGAATTTATCAATTGCATATTAGCTGATAAATAATGTTTTGTCCTTAAGTTAAAGTCAATTAGAAATAAGTTATTTGATTTTGAATAAAAAGATTAGCGCTTACTCCTGATGGAAGCAAATCTATTTTCTGAAAAGTCCAATCAGCTCCCCAAAGCACAGATTTTCCAGTATGCCTGAGGACCATGAGAATGTCCGTGTCTTGTTAGGCCAAAAGCCAAGAAGTTGTACCACGATACGATCTGTGTATTTTCCTCCTTCTGCGAGGGTTGCTCCTGGAAAGTGGTCAGTTGCAGGGGTTTCTTTCAATAAGCCCAGATGCAAATAATTTGAGGTTTATAGAAAAAAATTTTTCTGATGTCTATATTTTGAAATTCCCATGAAAACCCAAGATACCCCCTTGAGGTATTACTTACACTATAAAATAATTTGCTTTGGGGAATCTTATTTCATTTATTCATGTTTCAAAACAAAATTGCCAGAATTCAGAGGAGATAACAGTTGAACATAAAGTGTTTTGTAAGGACTTCAGCTGAAACTGGAGACATATATATATATATAATGAGTAGTGTGGAGTAGTTGTATTTTTGAAGCTTAAATCATCTGGATTCACAATACTGTTTGAACTTGTCTTCCTCTCAGCCCTAAAAGAAGTCATCCTTGCCAAGATGCCTTCTCTCCAGGATGAAATGATAAATGACTTTAGGACCAGGGAGGCCTATTAAGTTTTTAGACATTCCCAAGGGTTCTAGAATATTCTATGGGTTTGTTTCATAATGATGCATTTGTTAAGAGTGGTAACTGTGGACCTTGATGTTTGTGATACAAGTCGCTGGTCATTCTGAGACTGTGAGAGAGCTCACACTAATGCAGACATTATGGGATCTAAATTCTACACCTCCAGTTCCAGCCCCACCCAAATTTCAACCTTGCAAAGTCAAAACAACCATTGTCATTGGCAACCTGAGCTTACAAGATGAAACTTTAAAAATTAAAATTGGCGAAACAATTGTTATAAACTGAAGTGGAAAATGCATTGTAATTTGGAACTAAATTATTTATGAACATTGCTTGTGCTATACCTGAACTATGTAGATGGTAAAAGTCTGCTTCTAAAACGTCTTCTAAGCATGAAGGTTTTTCTGCATCATTTGAAAGGGCTCGAAGGAGCTCTCGTGATATATGCAAATGCTTGCACACAGTCACTAGATAGTCGATGGGCAAAATAAGAAAAGATGAAGTCTGAGGGGTAGAGGCAAATGAATGTGATTCAGAAAGAAACCTCAACTATATAAATGCAACCCTTTATACAGAGATTATAGTTTTGCATTCAAAATTTAGACAGACATTGAGCAAAATGTAATCACTTTTTAAGCATTACTGTACTGTATAAGCATATTAGAAAAGCTCTGTGATGGTAATCATGTAGTGAACTTGAAACCACCCCTAATTAAACTGTCTGCATCCCCCAGCATTTTCCTGTAATGATGTCAAACCGTGTAGCAATTAGTTGCACCTCTATGAATGTAAACACTGTTTGTAAATCATATAAACTTAACCTGGTTTGCTTATTGAAAAATATCCTATAAAGAAATTAATTAGCTTTGTATGTTTTGGAATTGTAATTTATAGGATCATTTTGGAATCTTTCACTGAAGTCAAATTAATTTTTTTCCCTGAGATTGATCAAATGGAATGTCTCTGACAGAGGGCTACAAGGGAAAGTCTAGCACAATTTACTTCATCTTCATTTTATTTCTGCAATGACTGCCGAAGTGTAGAATTCAGGACAGGGTTTTACTGAGTTAACCCAGTTTTAAGATATTCTTCTCAAGAGGAAGATATATATCATCTTAAGGTTGCATCTTTCTCATATCTTCTGCATCCTTCAGCCAGTGTGGAAGGTTTTCAAGTTCATTTGAATGTGAAGTTTGGGCACCTTTATGCAGCCATGCAGTGGCTAAGAAGACCCTAGCCCTGAGCTCTGTGGCAGCAGTTCAGGAGCAGTTGCAAATTACAAGGGAAGTGGCCAATTCCAGACAAAGAAATTGAACAACCCAAAACAAACACTCAAGTATTTTAACTCAGTGATCTTTTCTCTGCGGAAAGGGAGCACAAAGGAAAAGGGAGCCAAGTTTAAAATTTAGCCTGCCTTTGTTGCAATTTTCTTGCTGAAACCTTGGATCCTGGTGGCGGGTGGTTTACCTGAACCATCAGCTACATAGCACATTTATGGTTATTGTATTTTACAGGTTGATAGATTTTTATATTCTGTCCAAGTCAAGATCTTACACCACCTGGTTTATTATTTAGTAATTTACAGTGCAGTCAGGCATGTTTGGCTTAATGTAGGATAAACTTATAAATCTATTGTTCCTCCAGTTGCCGGGGTTGGTGTGCAATGAACTACAGAGCTGGATGCGTACATACATTTCAGCTGTGCTTTTTTCTTTGATAGGGAAGCAGGCAATAGATAACACAGTGACAGTAGCATCCCAGGGGACAGCAGAATGTGAGAGCAACACCACGTCAGGTTAGTAGGTCATTATTGTATGAGCCGTGAACCATTAATGGACTGCTACGCCCAGCTCAATCTGTGTCAGATTATGGCTCTTGGCAGGAGAATTGTTATCTAATAGCTAACTTTGCTTCCTCACGATCATCTTATTAGTTCCTCTGATAAAAATGTGCACAGGTATATATTAATAGTGGGCCTCATTGGGAAAAGGCAAGATCTTGGATATTTCTCCTCCATTTCTGAATAAAATGCTTATATGTTGATTTGGCATGGGCAGCTCTTTAAGGAAATGACATTCTTTCTCAGGTATTTTTGGACTGCTTATAAAATGCGTAGTCAAATATGCAGTGTTAATTGCCACAGAGACTCTGGTATTACGTTGATGGCGTAAAATGAAGACATAATGGAAAGGAAAAGAGAAGGTAAGGGAAATTTTACCCTGTACCTTCATCTTAACTCTCCAAATAAGAACGCTGATGGATTTTTAAATTTTGGGAATAAATTCCACCTTTCTTGAAATAATAACAAAAAAGCAAAGACTATGGCAGTATATATCTTTTATTATTTGTAGAATACACAAGAAGAATATATTGTTTATGTGTGGCTTCAGATAAAAATCATACATTTTTAAGAAGAGTATAAGAAACCCCTGATTTTTTGAC